ATTTTTGATAGCAAATAGTGAGCAGTGTTAAAAGGGAACAAAGGAAAAGGATGAGACAAGATATCAGCTACCATTGACATTAAAAGATGCAGCATGTTAATTGTAGTAGCGCATGTAGGAATGGCACCAATGGTGGTAATAGCGAATTAGCTAGTACAAGCAGATACCGTCAGGGTTACATCAATTGAAAAAGACAGGCAGTTTGTTTCTACAGTTGCTAGTTCTGTAGTGATGGTGAACTCAGATCGCTGGCGTCAAGTTTATCACCAAAAATGGCAATAACCACCATGAGCTATTCGTGTCTGATGCTGTGATTACTCTATCAAACCTCGAACTTTGGATGTGTATTCTATTGGTTCAGGCTTTGGGTCTGTCCTTTAGCCGTGTAGTATTTACCACTTGAGTCCTGACAACCTTTTACATCCATAAAAGTAGGAGTGTTTCATTTGAGGATGAAACTTACAATTAACTGCTGAGCTAGCTCCAAGTATCCTGGCTTCTCCTGGAAAAGGTCATGGATGTCTGCGAGGCAAAATGCAGGAAGAGTTTGAGGACATTCTTAGAGGCATTACTCAACAAAGCACATTGTACTTATACAAGTTTTCAAGATGGTACTGAATCATACAGCTTCTCCTTTGACGAAGTGGGTTATCCAATAGCCTGCAGAAAAACACAGTTAAATTCGTTGTATTTTGAATTAAACAATCAAGAGTTGGTTTCTTGTACGTTGGCATTTTGGCATTTCTATTCCACACAATTGCACTTTGCTTTTTACGACTGTTGCAGCTTTGCGCCACATTGCAAAAAACCGGACCAGATATTGTCATCACAAGATGAGACCAGACCAGGCATAACAAACCTGAGTCGGTTCAGTGACATGGCCAACCTGTTAACTGTCACATGGAGGCCACCTCACTCATCTGCCACATCCATGCAACACACTCAAGCAAGGCCCAGCCGCAAGTAACGCACTAGTATTACAGGACAATTTAACCTAATGTTAAATGTGGTAAGAATATGTGATCCGAAGTGCAATTTACTCAATAATAAACCATCCGTATAACACATAGGTAAAACGAAGTATAATTTATAGCAAACATTTCCACTAGGCATTCCACGTGACATGACCGGTATGCAATTAAGCTCTCCGAATCATCAATTGTGTAAGGACATTAACATTTTCTACATATCATTACATCACTGACAAACTAAAAGCATAAGACCGTTGAAGTTGACGTGTGGGACAAGCAAACTAAATTCAGCTGATAACTAATCACTCTGTGAATAAAGGATATGAGCAACAGATCTCTCTGCTGATATATAGGATGCTGCCAATCATTGAAAGAGTATTTCTGGCTACAGAACAGGGGTGATTACTCAACAAAATATATTTTCTTATTAAAAAAAGTCTTTTCAACCATGTACACAAATACAGGCACTCCATTCATAAAAAAAACTATAAACTGCAAAAGTGCCTCACAACATTACCTTTGTCCGTTGCAGAACATAATATCAAAAACAAACACACAGATGTCAACCTGCAGAATGGTCAAAATAGTATCAGCTTTGGTATTATCATTATCATTGATGATGATAAAAATAAATAGACTGCAATTATAAAAAAAATGGAATAAACTTGCTGAGATTATTAAATAATTATTTACGAAGAAGGAACTCCAAACATTAGTAGTAGAAAAATAGAATAAACTTGCTGTGATAATTAAAATGATTAGATATGAGGAAGGAAATCCAAACACAGCAAACACAAAAGTACATTATTTGTTCAAAGCATAAAATAGTCCACTCAGTCTCATTGACAATGTGTAACACGCATGCTACTATATGTTGAGCAAAGGATACCAGAAATGAGGAAAATAGAAAGACAACTACAAACTTAACAGTGCTTCAAAATAAAAGGACATACATAGAGAAACTGTGGAAATATCTGTGGCCAAGTGCAACATTTTGAAAAATGGTGGGAAAAGCAATGGCTGCTTCAGTTTAGAGTTTAGCTACTTGTGTTGTGTGTTTCCAAAATTTCCCAACATAGTCATAGATGTGCATCAATCATGTTAGAACATGAGTTTCTGCAGATGCACATGTTCTAAATGACACACATATATGAATTTCTTGACCCTAAACTCAAGTGCCCACCCTTCCATGTACAAAATCCATCCTCAATAAATAATCCGACAAAACCCGAGAGACGACATGGAGCCAAGGCTCACTCCACTTAAGCTCTCAGTTATAAGAATTAATTAGAGAAATTTCTTCGCACTACCTCTTGGCAAAGTTATAGGCATTAATCAAGTAAAGGTGCTATCAAAAACAAAATGCTGATGAGTCCAAAGCAGTAACAGAACTTAGTGGGTCGCAGAACAATCATAGCACCTTTATGTTCTGAATTGCAATTGAGGAGTTCTTGCTCCCTCTTTCTCTTGAAGATAATTCTTGGAATGACATCAGCCTGTTTCCTTTATTCCTATCGATTCCCACAACCTTGATTTGGATGCGCAAGTATAACAAAAACAATTAGAAGGTAAGTAAGTGGTGAGTGGTCTACTATAAACATAGCACATAGAGAGGTCATCCTCATGAATCAAACTTACTTCAGCATCCAGTATAAAGCTGGCCACCTCTGAGTTGCAAAGCTCTTTGATCATCTTAACTAAATCGGGAAATTGGGAAGTCGAATCTTTCATTTGCCTTGAAAATATTTGCACAGATCCATCAGTTAATCTGTGAATCTGGGCGCGCTGACCATCATACCTGAAAGCAAAGGAAAGTTAGTATGAAATAAGTTATGCATGACATGTCTAAGGACTTAACTAAAATAGTTTCCTTTAGAAACTACAAAAGCGGTCAGAGAAGCTTGTAGCTTATGGCAATCACAGACCCAGATTTCAACATAACTGGCCCTACGAACTATGCAAACTCAGCTGGTGTCAAGACAATAGGAAAGTACTCCTCGCTAACTGCTTTGCCCAGGCTCCACAGTTCTCGTGATGCTTAAAACAAAGCCTATGGTTATGCTTGAAATGGTGGTGCTTTGATTTTTGTAGTTCCGTTAACCAGCCTCAAGCGAAGTGCAGCTAGAAACGATGTTTTATACTCCCTCCTTGCCAAATTATAGTGCATATAATATTTTTCAAAGTCATACTTTGTAAACTTTGACTGAGTTTATAGAAAAAAAATGCTTATGATACCCAATATATAACACGTGAAAATATATTTCACGATGAATCCAATGGTATTGTAAATGTTGATAAATTTCTATAAACTCGGTCAAAGTTTACAAAGTTTGACTTTTGAAAAATATTATGTGCACTATAATTTGGCAGAGGGAGTACTTAGCACTTCATAAAAAGTTAATGTACAGTAAGAACGACCATTTGGTCATGAAAGTAGGTTTGCTAGGAAAGAATCTCTTAAGAGAGCAATGTACTCACTTGTACTCGCAAGTAAATGCTCTACCATGAAACAACTTCAGTGCTTGAGTGACCCCATTAGTAATTCTGAAAGAAAAAAGGAATGAAACCATGATTACAATATAAAATAGGTCAGTTAAAAATAATTGTACTGGAAACAGCATCAGATGCACACACCTTGCAAGCATAGGTGGTATAGGTGTGCCAGGTACCATTGCTAAGGACGAAGCTGCAAATGTAGCGCCTTCACAAAGAAGAGAGGGAACGAGCAAATCCTGAAAATAGTGCCAGCGAGAGTTCCTTTAGAAAAATGACGGCAAAAGGTAAACTTTCTCTCGCTTGAAGCAAGAACCATCCTGTTTTGGACTAAAAAGCACGGATACGGCTATCCTCGAGAATCCCATCTATTTTTATCTAAAAAAGAACACTGTGATACGGCAGGGATACAGTATGGACACAGGGGGTTACAGGAGCCCAATACCAGTCAATTACAACCCTAACTATGCTGGGGAGGCAACAGACAAGTGCCAAATCGACCGCGAGCTGGTCTGTGCCTCTGCCTCCAGCGACCGCGCCGCCTCCTGTACTCATTGCCACCACTGTCTGTACTGGCTGCTACTGCTCTTCTTCCGTTGGCAAGCAAGCTCGAGCGACGGAGCAACATACCTCGCCCTCTGTCCATCTCTTCCCTCCCTCCTCTTTCTTCCTCGTCGTTCCTGTTATTGATGCTACTGTGCTGCTGTTGCTACTTTATTGCTGTTGATTTGCTGCTGCTGTTGCTACTTTATTGCTGTTGATTTGCTGCTGCTATTGCCTGCCATTGCTGCTGTCCCAAATTAGCTATTGTTGCTGACTTGCTCGATTTGCTACTGCAGACCTGCTGTTCACTTGTTGCTGATTAGCAGAGGGAGCATGGCATTTGGGAATGCTAGCGTTGACAGTGAAGAGGGTGAACTTAGGGATGGTGTTCCAAATCTTAAGTATCCTCTGTTGTTATCATTTTGTCTTTATATATATACACACACACACACACACACACACTTGCTGATCCCGTGTCCCCTTGTAAGTATCCTTGTCTCTGTGTCCCCGTATCAGTGCCTTTCGAACCACCACTTGCACCATTTTCCACAAGCACATAGATTAACTTATAGCCATTCATATTATGGACACCACATAATTACCATTTAAAAGGGCAGTCATAAAATGAAGGGAATTTAATATTACAAGTTGTACATCAATTTTCTATTACAATATTAATGCACTATGATGAAGGTTAAAAATTGTTCTCTTGACAAACTCACCAGAGCTCTTTTGGAAAGGATATAGGTTTTCTAGCAATGTAAGCTAGATAGTAGATACTCAGCACATTTAACATTGATGTAACCAATAGCTAGGAAATACGAAAGCCTGTACCGTCATATATCAAATGAAATAAGTTCATTAATGATTACTCACCATATTAGGAATGACATTGTATGCCTCAGTAATTTCAGTTGAAAGGCTCTGCTCAAAGAGGAAGGAAGGTAGAATTCTTTGTTCAGGAAGTGTAAAAAATCAAATCATTATATAGTAAAGATGCGCGAAAGTGGATAGTGAAGAATCTCTGTTTTCTCCACGAGTAAAGAAGTTCTCGTAAGAATAAGAAGAAAAAAAAACATTTTAGAGCCCAGCTATTAAATTAAGTTTCCTCCAATTCACCGAAATATTTTTATAGTTAGGGACACAAAAAAGTCAAACTTTCGCATCTTTGTAGTCGATAAGAGAATGGAGGCGGCCATTTTCACGCTCTGTGGTAAGAATTAAGATTCTAGCAGTAATATATAATTTGGCGTCAAGCCTCGAGTATTTTTCCTAATAAATCACGACAGACAACAGTAATACAATTTTCCCTAAGATACTCAACATGGGCACTCAGCAAAATAGACCGGGTTTTCCTCTTACCACTTACAAACATAATGCACATATCGTGTAGCATTGGCTTCATCAAGGACAGATGCTTAAAATGTGCTGACGCATTCATTTACTTCTAATTAATAGATATTGCAGTATTTTCAGGATTGCAAAAAAGAGACACATGCATGCACACACATCACCACCACCACCACAAGCACACATACCTACGCGCATGTCCTCCAAGTACATGTCTGGAATTGACGGAAGGTTCCTATAGTGACCTGAGAAACGTGATGCTCGTCCCCGTCGATCATGTGCACCCATGGATCACGACATCAAGATAGCAATATGGCATGTGCGCGGCCTCAACGGCGCTATGCCATTAGATCGCTGCTGGACACCACCGGCGCTTCCATTGTATGCCTACAAGAAACTAAAATGGCTTTGATCTGCTCGTCTGTTGTCCTTGATGCCCTCGGTTCGGAGTTTGACGACTACACGTACCTCCCGGCGAACGGCACGAGGGGAGGCTTCCTGCTCGCATGGAAGAGCAGGGTCGTGTCCTGTTCACCACAAACGCCATCACGGCAAGGGTTGCCACGGCCATCGGCACGCCTTGGTGGATGTCCATCGTATACGGCCCCCAAGAGGACGCGGACAAGATCGCCTTTCTGCAGGAGATCTGTGATATACGCGCGGACTGCCCCGGGCCGTGGATGCTTTGCGGTGACTTCAACTTGATCCTACGCGATGAAGACAAGAACAACGGCAACTTGAATCGCCGCATGATGGGAAGGTTCCGCCGCCTCGTCAATGACCTCGTGCTCAAGGAGGTATACCTCAATGGAAGACGATTCACGCGGTCCAACGAGCAAACCCCGCCCACCCTGGTGCACCTGGACCGCGTGTTTTGCACCGTGGACTGGGAGGACACGCACGGTGACTGCCACTTGAGATGCCTCGCCTCCGTCGTGTCCGACCATTGCCCGCTCCTCCTCGATCGCGCGCCCAAGCATGCAGCGCATCGGAGGTTCCATTTTGAGGATTTTTGTATGCGGCTTGACGGATTCCAGGACACGGTTGCCGCGGCTTGGGGATCGGTGCACGATCCGGACCCTTTCCGGCATCTCATGCTGCGCCTCCAGTGCACCGCCCGCAGACTCACGAGTTGGAGCGCCAAGTCCAAGGGGTGCATTCGTGACAAGATGGCCATCTCCCGCGAGCTCATATCGCGTTTTGACAAGGCCCAGGAAGACCGCACGCTCTCTCCCCTGGAGGACTGGCTGCGAAAACAGCTCAAGATCTCATACTTGGGGCTGGCCTCTCTAGAGCGCACAATCGCGAGGCAACGAGCGCGGATCACCACGCTCAAGGACGGCGATGCTAACACAGCCTTCTTCCACCGGCAATGCTCATTCCGCCGATAGAAGAATCACATGTTCAGCCTCATGGTCGAAGGACATGCGATCACTGATCAGGAGGGAATGGCCCAAGCGGCCTTCACATACTTTGACGATCTCCTTGGCTCCTCCGTCGCCCGCAACCACACGCTGGACCTATCGCAGATCATCGAACCACACGACCTGACCGACCTCGAGGCACCATTTAGCCCGGAGGAGATTTGGGACGCCGTCAAGCGCCTCCCGGCCCGCAAAGCGCCGGGGCCGGATGGCTTTACCGCGGAATTCTTGCGGGCCTGCTGGAGCATCATTAAGCAAGACTTCTTCGACGTCTTTCAGCAGCTCTTTGAGCTGCGCGGTCGTGGCTTCAGCAAGCTCAACCAGGCCCTTTTGACATTGCTCCCGAAGCGAGCAGACGCCTGCCAACTCCGCGACTACCGGCCGATATGCCTCATTCACCTCGTGGCGAAGATCTTCGCGAAGGTGCTATCGCTCCGCCTTGCACCCAGACTAGGAGACATGGTTAGCCGCAACCAAAACGCTTTCATCTCGGGACGGAGCCTACACGACAACTTTGTCCTCGTCAAGCAATCGATGAAGCTGTTGCACCAACTAGGGGCTCCGAGAGTGATGCTCAAGCTAGACCTAACGCGAGCCTTCGACTCCCTATCTTGGCCCTTCCTTTTCGAGGCTCTTGGCCAGTACGGATTCGAACCTCGCTTCAGGGAGTGGCTTGCGATCTTGCTATCATCATCGAGCACTCGGATCATGATCAACGGAGAGCCGGGACCGCCAGTTTGGCACCGCTGCGGGCTGCGTCAGGGCGACCCCGTATCTCCGCAGCTCTTCGTGCTCGCCGTGGACATCCTTGGGCGCCTGATCAGCCGTGCCCACGACGTCGGCATCTTGCAGCGGCTGCACCCCCGACGAGACATACCGGCCATATCTCTGTACGCCGATGGCGTGATGCTATTCTGCCATGCCACGCAAGACAACGTGGAGGCCGTCCGTGTGATCCTGGCCCTGTTTAGTGAAGCAAGCGGCCTCCGCGTGAACTATGCCAAAAGCTCTGCTACTGCCCTCAATGGTGACCCCGAGGCGGATGCTACAATTGACCAGGTGGGATGCACAAAAGCGGAGCTGCCCATTACTTATCTCGGCATCCCGCTCACGCTACGCCGCCCTCAGCCGCCCAACTACAACCCCTTGTCGACTCGATGGCCGCTCGGCTCCCCACATGGAAAGCATGGCTCATGAGCAAAACCGGGCAGCTGGCTTTGGTCAAATCGGTGCTCGCCACGATCCCGATACACCAACTGCTCGCGTTTGCGCCACCCAAGAAGACCCTGAGACAACTTGAAAAGATCCAGCGCGGCTTCTTGTGGGCTGGGCGTGCTGCTGCTAACGGCGGACACTGCCACGTCAACTGGCGACGTGTGCCGTCCGCTTGAGTACGGCGGGCTGGGAGTCCAGGACCTGGAGCGCGCTGGCCTCGCGTTGCGCCTGCGCTGGATGTGGTTCTCCCACGCGGACGACAACCGAGCATGGCGAGGCCCCGACCTCCAGTTTTTCCGTGAGGAGCGCGCGTTGTTCTTCGCATCGACGACCATGGCGCTTGGCAATGGACTGACGGCACTGTTTTGGGACGACCGATGGCTCAACGGTCAATCCGTGCGTGAACTCGCACCATCACTCTACCAATGCATACCCAAACGACGACGCAAATCAACAACGGTGGCCGCAGGCCTTGCGGGCAACGCTTGGGCTCGTGACATACAAGGAGTGATAGGGATTCATGAGATTGGCCAATACCTGATGCTTTGGCAAGCCGTGCATCACATCAGCCTATCACACAGGCCTGACCAAATGCTCTGGAGATGGACGGCTAGTGGCACCTATACGGCACAGTCATGCTACGCTGCAACCTTCCACGAGTCCATGAGATGCCCGTCTTGGAAGCTTACCTGGAAGAGCTGGGCACCGCGCCGCGTCCGATTCTTTCACTGGTTGGCCAGCCAGGACCGGTGTTGGACGGCGGAGAGACTCGCACGTTGTGGCCTACAACACCATCCACGATGTCTCCTTTGTGATCAAGCCCCAGAGTCGATGCGGCACCTGCTCCTAGAATGCCCGTTTTCGCGGCAAACCTGGCACGACGTCCTGGCCTGGGCGAGGATACCTTCACAACCGCCGAACAATGAGCCCACCCTTACGGACTAGTGGCAACGAACGAAAGGGCAGACCCCACATGCGCTACGGAAAGGCCTGCAATCCATCGCCATGCTCGTCCCTTGGATGATCTAGAAGCAGCGGAACGAGTGCGTCTTCGAGAATGCGCGCCCCTCGGTTCGCACACTCGTAGATAGGATTAAGGCCGAAGCCAAATGTTGGGCACAAGCCGGCGCATTGGGCCTCAGGGCAGTCCATCCCACTAACTGGGATGTTCACTGATAGGGTGTTAACCCATGTAACCACCACCTCCTAGGAGGACTATATCTTCTCATCTTTTCAATGAAATGAAACGCAAAGAGTCCTTTGCGTTTTCTCGAAAAAAAGAGCATTATAGTATATGGTTAGATGCTTGGTGGCATAGCTATGTTCTCTTTTCAAGTACCTAGTATGAGACTAAGAAGTTTATATTACCATAACGAAGCTAATGACGAAGGAAAGTATGAGATTGGAGTAATGGTTCTATTGTTGTGTGTCGAATATTAGCAAGCGACGGTCACATCTAACATTAAAAAAAAGTAGAACTAACAAGAGCACAAGTCAAATCTGGGGCCTCAAAATCACCTGCCCCCTAGTATAGGCCTAGAGACAAGCCATGCCCCATATGAGCAAAGCTCAAACTCTCAAACAAAATCATTTGCAGAACAAAGTTAAACAAACCTGCAATTGTGATTTTACAACCTCGCCCCATATGAGCAAAGCTCAAACCCTCAAACCAAATCATTTGTAGAACAAAAGAACAGGCTCGACTTAGTTAAACAAACCTGCAATTGTGATTTTACATCCTCCAAGGATACCACAGGACCTGTTGAACATTTTTCATGAAGAACAACGGCATGTGCAAGAGCGGGTAAGATTGTCTTCATCATAGCGCCAATACGCAAGTTACGGACCTGTTGGTAAAACACACCCACACACACGAAAGGGGGGAGGGTAGACATAGGAAAATCCAAGATTGATTAGTTATTGCCATATTAATTCAGATAGGTTCACAAAGACTTGGAAGCATGAACAAAGATAATGAGAACAACAAATACATAATGAATTAGATACTGAAACTGAGGGTTTCCTTTGCTAATATAGCATTTGTATACTAGGATTTAACAAGTGTGGGAATGGATGGAAGCTGTCCATCATGTGAGAAGGATGAATTAGAAGATAAGTAAGCACAGAAGACCAAAACCACAAAACCGAAGTATAATCTGCAGTTATTCTATGCAATACAGCCTCAGGCGCAAAATAGAAATTTATACAAGCATAAAGGAAGGATGCCTGACCGGCGTTCTAACAAGAAATTTCATTTCCATTTCTCTGCAAGACCGAATAAGATGCAACACAAGAATTTTTCTCCTCCCAGCACTCCCACCACCTGATATTGCACTAAAATGAAAATAAAAACTGATGAAATTAAACAGATTATCATTTCCCTGTAGCAATAAATGATATCATGCGAAGTACGGTTGTTATTAAATTTTATTATCTATTTATCTTGAAAGAAAACAGTGAGATTATTGCATGAAATAAAGCCAGAATATTCAAAGATTTAACTATTTGCTTATTACTACATTAAAAAAACAGAAGTATGAGACCAAGACTGAACAGAAAATAATGCAATCTACAGTGACCGGTTATTTACCATCAGTTGCTAGGATACAAAGTGCCTATGGAACTTTGACAAGACGGTTCTCATCCGATATGACATGCACGTCATGTTAATAATTGATAGGGTTGATAGTATAATCATCAAAAATTGTATTGTAAACAGACAACAGATATGATTGTAACCATACAAAAGGAGTTATAATCCAGATTAAAAGTAGCTCAGGTTTAACCTTAGCCATCTATGTATAGCAACCCGTGGGTAATTAAGATATTGTGCATGTATAGAAAGAATCCTGGATTCTATTAGAGACAGTGGCGGAGGCAGTACCCGAGCCGGGACAGCTGCCCGGGCTCACCTGCGAGCTGTTCCTTCAATCATAGCTGTGACATCATGTAATTATTAGCTAAAGCTACCGTCGTTTGCCCGGGAAAATTATTCTTGGGCCATCTTGGTCTTCTAAGCCCATCTAATTAACCTATACGGTTGCCCCTAGGCTCATGGCTGGTCGAGGGAGGAGGTAGGAGGGGTGGTTACAAAACAATATGCTCGCACAAATTAACACAGCCTGCTCACGCCTCCTCCCTCGAGCAGTTCGATTGGCCGCCACGGTTCGATAGTTGCAGACGAAGAACGCCGCCGATGATTTGTCAGCGTTGGCGCAGCTCCTCCTAGCAGGAAAGACGACAGTTGACACCTGACAGCGCCTCCTTCCAGCCATGAGCCATTCGTGCCGACGACTGATTAGGAGAGGTAAGTTCAGGTTAACTGGATTTGGAGATTTTATATAGTGGACGCGCGCGCACACACACACACACAAATTTGTGGAATGATAATTCATGCCTTGAATTTGGGGATTTTAATATTTGTTTGTAATTCATACGGATATAGAAAATTGGGAATTCCAACGTTTTGAGCAGGTTCATTAAAGAAAAATCAATCTCACTCCACGTGAGTATTACTTCTTCTCGACTCCTCTAGCCTAACCATTGTTAGTTAGTTCAATCATTCTAGATCACCGAATTTCAATCTTATGTTATTAAAAAAATTGATACGAGGAGATTTTTCGTTCCTAGATCAAGTATTGAGAATGCAAATGTTGTGCAGCCGGAACTCTGACACCGGCATGAGAACAAGACCCTAATGTTGTTCATCTTGAATTAGCTTTACTATTGCCGGTGTCAGAGAACTTTCTTCGTAACGAAAATCATTGTGAATAAGTTTTTACACCACCACTATGAATTGCTAGTTCTTACTTTTTAGTTTGGTGGGTCTTATTTTTTGGTGCTTCATCGGGCAATTGGATACCTAGTATTTTATTCATATAAGTAAGTACTATAGTTTATTCAATTATTAGTTGTCATATTTAACTTCAGGTTTTATTGAAATTGGTTATTTGACTTATAGTTGCATACTCCCTCCATCCGAAAAAGCTTGTCCCTCAAATGGATGTATCTAGCACCAAGTTAGTGCTAGATACATCCATTTGAGGGACAAGCTTGGGACAGGCTTTTCCGGACGGAGGGAGTAATATGTATCCAAATATCCAGTTACGATTTTCTGTCTTTCTAGTTAGCTTGCAGCCCGCCCCGGCTCCTAGTTTTTACTGGCTCCGCCACTGACTAGAGATGCAGGTGGACAGTTTTACTCTGTATTATTTTCTGTTCTGTCTTTCTAGTTAGCTTGCTGCCCGGCCCGGCTCCTGGTTTTTCCTGGCTCCGCCACTGATTAGAGATGCAGGTGAACAATTTTACTCTGTATTGTTGTTCCACAATACTGAAGAACGCAAACAATAGTCAACAGCTTTGAGATACGGTAGCAGATATGAGTATCCTAGTGGCTCTAAAATCTAGACCTATATGGCCTTTAAACCACGAATAATTACCACTTTGACATGTTCTTTTTTTTCAGAATTCTCAAGCAAATAAAATTTCATCTACCATATAATATTTTTCTTTGCAAAATAATACCATTATGGTTAGAATGGCCGCAAATCCCACCACAGTAGCTAGACCCAAACCACTCTATAGCACTGCAACAGTCTATTCACTCAGTGATTACTGATTAGGGAGTAGGGGCTGGTTCATGCAAGTTACTGGAATACTTATCAACTTTGGTTGAGCAGGTGACAGACTGGATAGAAGCCTAAGTTTTGGTTATGAAAGAAGCCAAACATCTTAGTTTAACAAAGTGAGACTCAACTCTCGAGTTACTAACTTGAATGTTGACTTGACCTACCTTGTCCATTATGACTACAACTTGCGCCTAGATGATGAGGTGGGACCCAAGTCGTTAGTCAGCCAGGAAAGAATTGTATGTGTTGCAAGAACAAAAAATACTCAGGGAAGAACTGTAGGTTGTAGCATGTAATATTGAGTAGAAAGAAAGGTGGACGATTGACCAATCATTATGGTAAAATAGATATATAAAGGTAAAATGAACATCAAAAGAAGATATATTTTCTTGTAAATAAGACCTTAGCTTTCGTAGTGTAGAATATACATCCCGAACTGAGAGTGGACGAGGAGGAGCAAGTAGTGTTTGATTCTGACGGCATTCTTGGGCAACATCACCTACAAATTACACAACAACTGCTGTTGATACAATATACTGTAATAAAGAAAACTATATTTGGAACATTAAATAGCTTATATCCATAGAACAAATGGCGTAACATAGATAACAAATAATAGGAGTTAATATCATCCCAAAAGTAGTTACTACCTTCATCCGGAAATATAAGGAATATTTTGTTCGGTTAAGCCAAGACATTGACCAACAACAAAATCAATTGATATGTAATATTACATGGCATAAATTCAGTGCCAATAGATTTGTATTCAGAAGTATTATGATTGTGATTTTGTATCACATAAACCAAATATTAATAGAGTACTCCCTCTGTAAAGAAATATAAGAGCGTTTGGATCACTGAAGTAGTGATCTAAACGCTCTTATATTTCTTTACGGAGGGAGTAGTTGTTGGTCATGTCTTGTATTAACCAAACAAAATACACCTTACATTTCCAAGCAAAGGGAGTAAAGAATAATAACTCGTGCATGAAGCTACAGACTGATGTTGGAACTTCTCAAAAGCCTGTCAAATGGATTGATACGCAACGACACAGCCATGAGACCATGCTGTAGGCCATTTCCTCCAAACTAATAATATGAAACAATAATATTGCTACTTTTAACTTTTAGCCTTACCAAGGTCACCGTAAGTTTTGTACATCTCGTGTATTTTAGATTTGCTCGTTCCTAGCGACTCCTCCATAGCAGATATAACTAGACTGCCGCCAATGTTTAGTTCCTAGCTTCATTAACAGGAATGGAGTTAGTGTGTTGGTGTGTCATGAAAATTGACTAGGCATAATGAAAGCATTTCAAAAAAAAAAAGATGAACATGGAAGGGAAGACTAAAGTACAATGCTAGAAGAATAAAATACACTGGAGGTCCTAAAAGTATTCTAAGTGTGTCAAGTGGGTCCTAAAAGTTTGAAATCGTTCACCGCGTGTCCTATATGTGTATTTTACCCGCGACTTTTAGGACCTATTTGACACACTTGGAATAATTTTAGGACCCGCGGTGAACGACTTACACACATTTAGAACCCACGGTGAACGATTTCAAACTTTTAGGACCTACTTGACACACTTGGAATACTTTTAGGACCTCTAGTGTATTTTACTCATGCTAGAATAGGATAATGTATATTTAAACAGTAAATGAGGGGTTTGAAAGAAAGCATTTGACAAGAAAAAGATTTGCCGATACTCCATAACTTAAGTTTGACAATCAACTTATCTTTGTGATATAGAGTCTGTACGGTATAAATTTCCAATGTTTCAACTGAGATGTTAAAAGGAAGCAACCAACAGTAGATATGGGGAAAGTGTGAAGTACGGTAATTACTGTAGTTACCATATTTTCATGGTCCGGAGAAATTTTGTTAGTACATAGATAAACAGCAGGTAGCACATCATTAGGTGATAAGGCAAGCAAACTGCATTCAAAGGTAATAAGATATTAAAATGGTGAACATTTCAGTGGATGATCAACAGCAACATGGATAGGTAAAACTATAAAGTGATAAACATTGGAAAACCTCCTGAACATGTTGCAAAGCATGGCAGTAGTTTTGATCTTCCCTTTTTCTCTTTCTACAAGATCAAAAGTGCGAGCCAAATGCAAGTATGGCGCAGGCTGTCCTGCTGTCCAGCAAGCTGCAGAAGTGGACATACATGGCATGACTCACAACAAAGCAAGGTGATAAAAACTCTCAGCGGCTAGTAGCTAACCATGCTCAATCGGCAGATACTTTTCAACTGGCAATGATGTCACCCCGGTGCTGCATACCACCGTGTGACTGCCAGTTGGCATGCCAAGTGTAAGCGTGTGTGGTCCCCCCTGTTGCCGCATAGGGCCCGGGCCAGTTGGCGTGCGTGGGTACTTAAGCTTTGGACAGGGGCGTGTATCAGTAGGCTGAAAGAAATGAACTAATTCCCTCACCTACCCTCTCCTCTGCTCATCCCCTTCTCCAAGCTTCTCCCCCTCCCCTCTCTCGATCCGATCCAGCCTACTCTGGTCCCCCTCAACCAGATCGGGGCGTTACAATTGGTAATCAGAGCCTCCGATCCTGCCCCAAATTTTTTTTTCGCTGCTGCCTCCTGATTTGGATCGGTAACATCCACCGCCTCGGGTGTGACTTGCTCCGGCGAAAAAAAAAAGGGCAACCTGGTGCATGTAGCTCCCGCTTGCGCAGGGTCCAGGGAAGGGTCCGACCACTTTGGGTCTATAGTACGCAGCCTTTTCCTACATTTCTGTAAGAGGCTGTTTCCAGGACTTGAACCCATGACCTCATGGTCACAAGGCAGCAGCTTTACCACTGCGCCAAGGCTCCCCTTCTGACTTGCTCCGGCGAGATCACGCAAAATCCCCGGCGGGGTTCGATCTAGCAGGGGTGCGAGACGGCACCGTCCAAGCCCTCCGTCCAGACCCGGCAGTTGCTGGCGGCCATGGACGACAACACCACCAGCCTCAAGGCCATGATGGAGACGATTCTCGCGCGCCTCGACGAACAGAAGGTCGACAGCGACAAGCGGCTCGAGGCGCAGATCGCCTTCAACACCCAAGTCTCGCAAGATCTGCGCTCCCTCGCCAAGCAAGTCGATCTCACACAGGCGGATGTCGACGAGACTCGCAAGGCGCTGGAGAGATCGCCCTCACCGTCGGAATCGCACTCCCCGACCGTGCTCCATCCACCACCACCACCACCTCCGCGGCCCCAGGCCCCGGCGCCACAGCACCAACATGGGCCGCCGCCGTCTCCGCGCCTCTCAGACCAGCGCCCGCCCCTGTTGGCCACAGCACCACAACCCGGCGTCCAATCCCAGCACCAGCAGTACCACCAGATCGGCGAGGCGCACCACCAGCAGCAGCACCACGGTGACCACTACGTCAAGCCGCCGAAGCACGACTTCCCTCGCTTCGATGGCAGCGCGCCTTACCTCTGGCTCGACCGCTGCCGGGCGTATTTCGACCTCTACCATGTGTCGGCCGCGAGTTGGGTGACCACGGCGACACTATACATTGAAGGGCAAGCGGCTCACTGGCTTCAGGCATTTCGCCAAACACATGGCGGCCTCGGTTGGAATGCGTTCTGCGCTGCGATTCAAGAGGAGTTCGGGGTCGACGAATTTGAGATGGAGATGCACAAATTGTTGCAGCTCCGTCAGATTGGCACGGTCAGCGAGTATCGCAAGGAGTTCGATACATACATGTATCATCTCCTGGCACTCGACCCATCTCTCAGCAACAAATTCTTCATCACTCAATTTTTGCTGGGCCTCAAGGACGAGTTGCGCGCAGCAGTTCAGCTGCAGGCGCCCAACAGCATCACGCGTGCGTCCATTCTCGCACGCATTCAAGAGGAGGAGCTGAACACGCCCAGGGCGCGTCCACGGCCGCAGCCGCAGGGCCGCCCACCACCACCTGTGCCCGCCCGGCCGCCGGCCACGCCCCGCCAACAGCCCGACGACTACGCCCGCGAACGACAACTCAAGGAGTTCCGGCGCGCCAACGGACTCTGCTTCAAGTGCGGAGACCGGTACACTCGTGATCACCGCTGCAACACGCAGGCCCAGCTCCTCACCATCCAAGTGGGCGCATACGGGGAGCTGCTCACCGACGACACCGTGCACGCACTCGACCTGCTCGATGCACCCCAACAAGAAGCACCCCCTCCAGAGTGTTGCACAATATCAGCGCACGCCCTGGATGGCTCGGAGGCGCCAAGCACAATCCGTCTCCGCGCACTTGTGGGCAACCAAGTTATGCTCCTTCTACTGGACTCTGGGAGCACCCACAGCTTCGTCAACAAGTCGTTCGTCGAGCGCGTTGGGGCGACGACGCAAGAGATCGCCACATTGGATGTGCGGGTGGCCAACGGCGACCGACTAACCTGCTCGCGCCAAGTTTCGGAGCTCCAGTGGTGGATGCAGGGCCACACGTTCTCGACGCCGATGTACGAGCTCGACACAGGCGCATACGATGGAATCCTAGGCATGGACTGGTTGGAGAAGAACAGCCCAATGACTTGCCACTGGCAGGAGAAATTCATCTCCTTCCTGCACGAGGGCGAGACAGTCAAGCTACAAGGTGTTCGTCCAAAGTCGACACCCACTCTCGCAGCGGTGCAACCGGCAGAACTATGCAAGTTGATCGCCGGCAATGATATCTGGGCAATGGCCATGGTCGAGATGCAGCCCCCCAAACCAAGACCACGCAAGCCCTCGCAGACGCCCATCAACGATCTCCTGGAAGAATTCAGCGACGTGTTCACCGCACCCACCGGCTTGCCTCCTCACAGGCAGTATGATCACGCGGTCACATTGGAAGATGGAGCCCAGCCAACAAACACACGGCCCTACCGCTACTCTCCATTGCAAAAGGACGAGATTGAGCGGCAGGTCAAAGAAATGCTCGACGCCGGTGTGATCACGCACTCGGTCAGTCCATACGCGGCGCCAGTTTTGCTTGTGAAGAAGAAGGATGGCACCTGGCGATTCTGCGTGGATTACAGGCGTCTCAATGACGTGACCGTGAAGAACAAGTTTCCCTTGCCCGTCGTCGACGAGCTACTCGATGAACTTGCCGGAGCGGCTTTCTTCTCCAAGCTTGACTTGCGCGCAGGCTACCATCAAATTCGCATGCGAGAACAGGATGAACACAAGACAGCATTCAAAACTCACCACGGCCATTTCCAATTCAGAGTCATGCCATTCGGGTTGACAAATGCTCCGGCCACGTTCCAATGCCTGATGAACGCTATCTTCGCCAAGTATACCCGTAAGTTTGTCATCATTTTTCTTGACGACATCCTTGTTTTCAGTGAGACACTCGAGGACCACTTGGAACATCTCCGCATCGTCCTCAACTTGCTCCGCGAGCACCAGCTATATGCCAAGATGTCCAAGTGCTCGTTCGCGCAAGATCACATTGATTATCTCGGTCACGTCATCTCCAAGCAGGGCGTCGCGACTGATTCTGAGAAGACAGACGCCATGGCGCAGTGGCCTACTCCAACCAACGCCACCGAGCTCCGTGGCTTTCTGGGGCTCACCGGCTATTACCGCAAGTTCGTCCCCCACTACGGGATCATTGCCAAGCCGCTAACCCAGCAGCTCACCAAGAAAGGCTTTGCATGGCCCGAGTCGGCGCAGCTCGCGTTCGACACGCTCAAGAAGGCGATGGTGACCACGCCGGTGCTCGCCCTTCCCGACTTCGACAAGCCATTCTCCATCGAAACCGACGCCTGCGACACCGGCATCGGTGCCGTGCTCGTCCAAGACGGTCACCCCATCGCATACTACAGCAAGGCGTTGGGCGTGAAGAACCAGAAGCTCTCCACCTACGAGAAAGAGTTCTTGGCCGTCATGATGGCCGTGGACAAATGGCGCTCTTACCTGCAACGCGGGCCGTTCACCATTGTCACGGACCACAAAAGCTTATGCACGCTTGGGGACCAGCATCTGGTGACCGATGTCCAGCGCCGCGCCATGTCCAAATTGGTCGGCCTCCAATTCAAGTTCCAGTACAAGAAGGGCGTCGACAACAGCGCGGCGGATGCTCTCTCTCGCGTGGGCAGTCACTACAGCGCCAATGCTCTGTCCCTCTGCCAGCCAACATGGATTCAGGAAGTGGCCAATTCGTATGCCACGGATCCAGATGCCCAGGAAAAGATTCAGCAGCTCGCGCTGCACAGTCCGGACGACGAGGAGTACGAGCTGTACCGTGGAGTCATTCGCCGTCGCGGGCGGCTGTGGATCGGCGCAAACACAGCCCTGCGCACCAAACTGATCAGCGCTCTGCATGACAGTGCCGTGGGGGGCCATTCTGGCTCGACAGCAACTTACCACCGAGTCAAGAAGCTGTTTGAGTGGAAGGGTTTGAAACATGATGTTGAAGATTATGTGCGGCAGTGCCAGATTTGTCAACAGGCGAAGCATGAATTGCATAAACCAGCGGGCAAGTTGGCACCCCTGCCCATTCCGACAGCCCCGTGGCGTGATCTGACAATGGACTTCGTCGAGGGCTTGCCCAAGTCCGAAGGGTATGACACGATCATGGTGGTTGTCGACCGCTTCACCAAGCTTGCACACTTTGTGCCCCTGCGACACCCATTCACGGCGACACGAGTGGCAAGAGTGTTCTGGGACAACATCGTCAAGCTGCACGACATCCCCTCCTCCATCGTCTCCGACCGCGACAAAGTGTTCACCAGCGTGCTTTGGCGGGAACTGCTAGCCAGCGCGGGCACCAAGCTCCTCTACTCCACTGCCTATCACCCCCAGACGGACGGACAAAGCGAGCGCGTGAACCAGTGCATGGAGATGTACTTGCGCTGCGCTGTTCACGACACTCCCACGCAATGGTGTCGCTGGCTGCCCTCTGCAGAATTCTGGTACAACTCCTCTTTCCACTCTTCTCTGGGTTGCTCTCCGTTCAAGGCTCTGTATGGGGTGGATGCCAACGAGGGCAGCATGGCAACATGGCCGGCAACACAAGCATCATTGCCGGAAGGGGCGCAGTGGGATTGGGCACTGCACAAGGAAAACTTGCAGGCACAGTTGACTCGGGCGCAACAGAAGTACAAAAAGTTTGCAGACAGAAATCGCACTGAGCGCATCTTTCAGGTTGGGGAGCAAGTACTGCTGAAACTGCAACCCTATGTGCAGAAATCGGTGGCCAGCCGCCCGTGCGCCAAGCTGGCGTTCAAGTTCTTCGGACCATTCACCATCAGCGCCAAAATTGGTCCCTCGGCATACAAGCTGGAGCTGCCGCCCGACAGTCGCATTCACCCTGTGTTCCATGTGTCCCAGCTGAAGCCGTTCACACCCAATTATACACCAGTGTTCTCC